ATGCTGTAATGCAATCAGAGAAGTGGTGTCTACTCAACTACCTTGCCTGTGTAACCTTTACAACAATCCGGGCATGCTGGCTGGTATTAATATCACTCAAGCTCTCGAGCTGCCGAAACACTGTAATCTCTCCGCCGATACCAGCAAATGCAAAGGTACTGGTTTCGAATTTCGATTTGATTTCGAGATCTGATTTGGTGAATTTTGTGCGAAATTTTTGGTATAAATTAATTTCTATTTATATTTTTGGTGGGGTGGGTGGAGTAGGTAGGGGAAGAAAACACTTTTTCTTGATTTTTCGGTCTGTTTGGTACGTAGGAGAACAAAGTAGACGAAATTTTTACCCTTTTTATGATATCGTTCGATATTTTTCAATTTTCTCTGCCAAACACGTCATTAAGTGAAATTGCATTAGCTAATTTTTGTTTTGGTTTAAATCTTGTACAGAAGCTGTGTCTCCAACTTCATCTGCTGTGCCACCTCCAGGTAACTTCCTCATCTACGCCTCAATTATTGATTTATTAATTCATTAGGCCATTAATAATATAATTAAATTATCCAGTTATTTTTAATTAGATAAGCTAGTTCAGGAATTTGAATTATTCCATCCCATCTTTTTTTATTTAATTTTTGTTACGCATTTGTGTAAATCCATGAAATTTAAAGATTTTTTTTTGTGAGGTTAACAACGATTCACTAACATAGAACAAAATATGATTTTTGGTGGCCAGTTGACGTACGCGTTTCGACGGCCGCCGATGTTGACTGCAGACGTGTTTATATTTGTCCACACGTTGATTTATTCAATTTCACCGCCTCAACGAAAGAAATTATTACTAAAACGAGGACGTGTCAGATTTTTTATTCGTGAAGATTATGCAATATTTTTAATTGAAATTGATTACTTGAGCTTCAATAATAAATATGCTCGTCTCTAGTTTGTCGAACTAATAATAGTATTTACAACCTCTCGATCTCCATCTACCTTGTCCCAATCTCGAAATTAGTATCTAGCGCTATCTAATCTTTTCTGCTAAACATGCTACACGAGTGTTTTAACATTTGATTAGTTAGTGAAACTTGTTTAGTTCGCAAAGTTGAAATGCATACTTTGCAACCCCATTAATTTCTAGACAATTTTCACATTTATGTCCAATCAATCTAACTGATTCAAATAAGGTACAAAAAAAAAAAAAAAA